GTCTTCATTTTAGTCCATGGGGTCTTAGGTCGTAGGTCTTCTTTTTTGAGTCTTCGTTTTAGAAACACCCAAGTTACATTACCAATATAGGGATGGTGGAAAATTTCTTCTGATGAAGTCAGTGCTGTAATAGACCATTTTACTGTTGAGGGCTCAGTACCTTAGCCTTCAAGTGAATGCGAGGCTGAGGTTGACCTTGTTTTGGTACAAACCTCCAAATTATACTTGAAAAATACTAGTTGGTATAAGAAAAACATAATTTACATATTAAAGAAAGCAGGAAGGATTGTATCAAAACAAGGTCAACCCCAGCCTTGCTTCCATCTATAAAATGGGCTATTCCCTTCTAAAAGGGGAAAATAACATCACCACGTTTTCTTTGGGGATGGGTACAGAACAAATGTAATACTATATTTCTGAGGTCTTGATGCAAGAAATGTCGATTTCTCCAATGAATGATTTTTTTAAGGGGTCACCTCTCAGCGGGGGGTGGGGATATCATAATATTAATAGATGACCCTCAGAAGTGCGTAATCATTTTGTGTGAGCTTTAGATTAACTTTCCAATCCATAGTTTGGAACAAATTGTAGCTGTTATTACGATTTTCCTCTGTATTTCTTAAATTTATAATCAGTATAATTATCCAAGCTCGAGTTGGTCTGCTGGTGATTTGACATATTAGTTCAAGTATTTTGATATACCAAACAAACATTTGTAAGTCAATAGGAACTTCCATCTGCTCCACTTTCTGAAAAGACTGTTTTATGTCAGATCACGTGCTCATCATTTTTTACATGTTCCAATCATGCAACTCCTTGGCCTGTTGTAGCTGATACATTTAGCATACAACAGCATGACAGTCTCTTTACCAGTTGCTATTTTGGTTTTTCATTGTCTTGCACCATTGTAATGTAGCCCTGAAATAATTTTAGATATTTGACCTTCTTTTACCTGTCCATTGTAGACTGCCTGCAAAATTTATGGCATCTGTTAAGCCTCCAGTTGACAAACACTCACAAAACTTGACACTCCATTGTATTGAGCTACAACATCATAAACGACGTATGCGGTTGATGCTGATGGCAGCACAGCACCAGTATGGAGAAGCAGGGGTATATGACATTGATTTTTCTGTTTCTGGTAATGTAACAATAATCATTAATGTTTATTTTTTATGCCTGGGATTCCAGAGATGTTGGGGAGGGGGAAGTGGGGAGAAGGGGGAGGGAGTGCTCATTTTCACACAATTTCATCTCAACCCGTCATAATGATTATTTGTGTGGAGCCACATTCTTCACTGCCTCTTGTCAACTTGTCTTGTGATTACATAAATTTTAACTTTCTTGGGCAACTTTGATACCTAACTTTATGTGCAAGAGAAAGAGGGCTTCCAAATGTTTAGGACTCAATCTAAGAGACCAAAGAAAATTATTTCTTAGGTTCTAACAAATTTGATTGCCTAATTAAGGAGATGCTCTTTATAAGAAAACTCAAACCATCCCTAAACGTGCAGGCAGACTCGATTTGCCCAAAGGTGTTCACTTGAAGAACTTGTGATCCTTTGTTATTATGCTAATTTGTAGAGACTATAGAAATCAAATCTTGGCATTACTTATTCATTTTGCCTTGAGAATGGTGTCATGATGATACTGAAACGTCGGCTTTTAACATTAATATTCGCTTGCTTACATTTTATTAATAGCCTCATAATTATAAGTGTTATCAGGAGAAAACTGATTTTTCTAATCTTTGGTGACTTTGCAAAGGGTTAACTGACAGACATCCAATAACATCACGACTTAATTGACCAGTGAGGTCAATAACCATTGTTTGATACCAGTGGCGGATCCAGAGGGAGGGCTGTTCTCAAAAAAAATTTTTTTCAGCCCTTTGGGCCTCAGTTTGGTCTAAAAATAGGGGGCATGGGGGCCTAGGCCCCTCCCCAGGATCTGCCACCAGATACCATCAACAGTACTGATGTCAGACCTATTCAGGACCCCAGTGTTCGTACCAGGATTTTCCACCCATAGAGAAGCTACAGCTGTAAAAGGGGGTCATGAGGGAGAAAAGTGGGTTACAATTTTTAGATACAGTTAATTCAATGCTTAACTCACAGGTCTGAGTTAGAGTAAATACCTCATACTTTCTTAGATAATAAATATCCAATTTTTACATGCAGTTAACTCAACATTCTACAGCTCTGAGTTAGAGTAAAGATGCCATAACCAATTAAATCTTGGCTTATATTATAAGGTTCAATGTACGTATGTAAAATACATATGTTTTGTAAAAGGTTTTCTTTTCCTTCTTTGCACCTTTGGGACCCCTTGGGCCAATTATAGTGTGGTATTTCCTGAAAAAGTGCTGGAATGCTGTGGTCTGTTAAGAACACTGGGATCCTATATGCTACTCTCACCTAGACAATCATATTCCACTTAGTACTTAATGAAACAACTCTTGGGTTCAAGCCATTCGCCACTTGACAGCTATAGTAGTTCAATTTAATGGTACTGTATAGTTTTATTTTTATAGCAAATACATGTAGGATGAAGTTCCAATTCCTCAAATTATTTTCTTTCTTTCTTGTGAGAAATATAAACTGAGTCATGCATCTGCATGGTCACCTGAGCTTGTCTTTGACCGAAAATTTTGTTGTTATTAGAGATCTGATGGTGCTGAAACAACTTCATTACCTGCTCATCCACCCAGACCCAAGAGATTCTGCTCCAGTCAAGGAATTGTCACACCGCCAACTCAGTCCACCATTCTTTCAAGAGCTAAGGAATCTGTTAGGTAATACTCACTTAGCTGCTTAAATAAAGTTAAGTTGTTAATAAGGCACCAGAATAGCAGTCATGGTCTGTATTTATTTAACTCCCGATCTGACTACCTACCAGGATTCAAACGTAAAGGATGATCTTGTAATTTGCCAGTGATCTTTTTTCTTTTAACCTCTTAGGTCTTCTTATCTTTCTCTATTCATAAGAACCCTAGCCTGCATTGCAGTCAGACTTCTCACTCAGGACCTAAACAGGGGTTTCGTTTCAGGCCGGACGCCAGACGCAACGTCTGGTTGTTTGACATGTAATGTCTGGTACTTCACACACAAAATAATAATTATTTTTTTAAGTGTGAAAATCTTTTTTTTCTTTACTAACGAAAGAAAGACTTGACCTTTATTTTACCCACTTAGTTATGTAATGCAAACAATCGAAAAAAAAAAGAGATAATTCCTGTCATAATCCCGGTTACCCAATTCCGGTCCAGGGAACGCAGGAAATTGCATTTTAGAGAGTCCAATTTTACAAATTTCCCGGGGGGGCACTCTCCGGACCCCCCTAGGAGTTCATGCCTCTGACACTCAACGGCGTGAATGGTTCACGTCCACCAGCTGAACCACTGCATCTGGTACTTCCAAATGCTACCAAAAACCCTGCCTAAATACACTGTAGAGAAATCAGACTTACTATTGATGCTGTCTAGGGATTTAGACTGTCCATGAGGCAGACTGAAGAACCCTTGCACTATTCAGGGAGAAGAATTAGGTAAACGTCCAAGGTCGTTGTCTGATTTTTTTCACTCTGGTAACAGCTGATGGGTCCAATACATGTAGGCTGACATGTAGGCAATTTCCTTTATAACCAAAACCTAATTATTCATGATTGTATTGGTCTTTGTAGTAGTTAAAGTGATAATATTATGAAAACTTTTCTCTCATGTAATCAGTAAATTATCAAAATAAAAAATGAACATCACAAGTTGATTAATGTAATCGACCCTGATAACTCGAACTTTTTTTTTGTTTTCCATCACAGTTCAAGTTATGAGAGAGTTCTTCTGTAATATATTTTTTTTGTATTGGTTAATTATAATAAAAAATTTTGTATCTCTATTGCAGCCCTCCTGGAACACATTCTACACTAGCATGTGCTGAGTTAGACAGTGCATCCAACAGACACTTACTGATGAGAGCTGCAGCCTCCTTGTGTGCGCTTGCAGGATTTGATAGTGAGTTCCTCTCTCTATACAAGTACTCAGCACAATTCATCTACCAGTAATCTGTAGTTTTCAGTTTTAAAGTTTTCAGTTTTTTTTTTAGGATTAAAATCTTTTACGTTCATGGATTGATACCAAGGTATTGGTCAAAGCGTTTGTACAAGTATGAAAATATTGAAGTATGAAAATATTGAAAAATGTTTTGTAAAGGTCTTGACCTGCTGCGTTTAATAGTGACCTAATGCAACAAGGTAGCTGGGACGTAGAGGTTTGGTGTCAAAAATAGCAACCGGAAGTTGATATTTTCTGTTTTGCAGTGCTTTGACTCAACAAATTCTTACAGCAGGAGTCAAAACAAAGGCATTCAGATTCATTGTGTGAGATTTCCGTCAAGTGAAACATCGAACTTCCGGGGTCAAAAATTTGTGTACCGGACACATATGACGTTCAGGGAGAAATTTGCTTTTAAATTTTCTTCAACTTTGAATGTAATAGCCTGGAAAGTACATTTTTTTAATGATTTTTGGGTGTCCAAGACAGAAACATAAATATAGCCGCCATGACGTCATGCGAAAGCACTCTATACTCTAGTTAACTCTTTTGTATTTCCTCAGTGGCAAGTGAATCTGCTCTGGAGATACTTACAGACATCCTAGATGACTTCAACACCAAGCTTTGTCATCTTTTGCGAACTGCAGTTGATAATGAAGCCCTAAATGGAAGAAGTGGCTTTTCAGTAAGTGACTCAGGATACGATATGTTTGCAGCCATGCATAGATCTAATCTTGTTGATTGAGTTTAACGCTGAAGTTGCTAATCCTACCTGAGAATACAGTTGACTCCCGATAACCGAACCTTCTAGTAGGGAAATAGAAAAAAGTTCGGGTTAATATCGGGAGTTCGGTTTATCGGTTGAAAGCAAATAACCCGAAATAAGGGAATAAGCATATGGAATGGGAAAGGAAATACGTATCATGCATACTTTACTTCAAGGGTTAGTTGACATTTTGAAAGGGGAATTAAGCAACAAAGCTTGATGGGCAAAAAAAAGAAAGACAAAGAATACACGGTCGTTTTAAAATAATTCAAAATATCGGACTGCACTGCACTTTTTTTGTTTTTGTTTTTATCGAGGGTAAAATTATATAGAAATGATCTGAGGGGAAACATAAAATTACTTCGAGTTAGCGGGAGGTTCGAGTTACCGAGAGCGCAAGGTTCGCAAAAGCGAGGGTTTCTCTAACTCTTAGGGCCAGTTATTTAAACGGAGTTTTGCCTGCGTTTAACAAAATTGCGTTGTGTGCTGTTGGAAGTCATTTACAGTTTCCCCAGCGCTTTTATCTAAACACCATTTATCGTGAATAATTTCAATACCGCATATAGCGTAGAGTGAAAAAGCACTTATTTTCTTAAATTGACCCACTAACAAAGAAAATAATCTTGAGGTCCAATGATTTCTTGCGTCCTAAGTTAGACTTTGTTTAAGTAACTGACCCTTAGTTTTTAACACATGATTGTAATTCCTCCTTCCGATAAGCTTCTAGAGTCCATAATCAAAGACTTAAACAAACTTCCAGCCTTTACTAATTCCTCACTCCAGATACTGATTTTGATAATGATGACGAGTGCTAAATTATGTAAATGTTTTGACTGGCTTGAACTTAAGACACAGAGTGGTTATCCTAGATATCATAACTGAAACTTACACAGTCAGTTTTTAAACCAACTGTTTTAATTTTGCACTCTTTTGTTTTACCCCTGAAAATTTTGCTGAAAATCACCTTTTGAAGCTACAATCGGCGACAAAATGAGTTGAGACACTTCGCCCAAAACTGGGTTTTTTTACGTTTTATTAACTTCAAAAAAAGGAAATATTGCTTTCCTCCTCCATCCCCTCCGTGCAATGTTGTGCCCTTGTTGTAGCTACCTGTAGAAAACAACAAACACCCCAACTTTGAATGGAGGGGACAGGGGAGGGGTGCGGATTCTTTTGTTCTCCGAAGTTACCCTAGTTAAGCACAATGTCTCAACAATTTTGTTGCCGATTGTCTGAATCTCAAAAGTGGTCGTACGTCCTTTAGAAAGTTAATTGAATTTATTTCTTTATGCTGTGATGTAAGACCCCCGGTGGCTTTTTATTTGTTGTGTTCGACTTCATCATACCTATTTTAGAACAATTAGAATAAGGCGATTTCGTTATTTTCAGAGAGTAACATTTCGTGTCACGCTTAAGCGTGCCTTGACACCGTGCGATGTGGCGCGTCGCGCACGATTTCTTATTCTCTCCTTTATCGAAGCGCATCGAAACAAAGAAAAAAGTGAAAAGGGTAGAAAACTTAATAGATTTCTAGGATTTCTAGGATTTCTAGGTAGTTATAATGGCTAAAATTGCTCTTTAGGAGGAATTTCCACGAGTAACCACGATGAGTATAAAATAAAATAATCGGATTATCTTTTAAGAACAAAGTTGGTTACTCGTGGTTACTCGTGGCCAGTCTCCTCCTGACCTCATACTTTCTACTGTAAAGTACATTCTTCAAAGACCCTTATGGGTATATGGGCAACGAATCTGCTGCACAGATTTAGCGATGCTATGCAGCTGTGCTGTGCGTTAGAAGTTGGAACATTTTTCCTGAAAATTCTCCTGCGCATAGCAATCGTGGCTATTTTATCGTCCATCACACCCTTATCAAATAGCCAAACTTCGACTAAACACTTTGAACTTACTAGGGATATATTCAAATACAATATATTATCTGCCATCGATTCCTACCGATCACACTTAGTTACCAGAAGAAAATCAACCATTCGGTACGTGGGTATGCTGCGTAATTAATTGAAAACACTACCGAGTACAAAGATTGTCAAAACTAATTTCCCCTCGAAAAACACAGGAAAGGGATTATATGGGTATTTTATCTATCTTCTGAAAAACGACCCGGTGAATATAGTAATCTCAACTAGTTACCGTCTCCTAACCGATGCTAATAAGACAACAGCGCGTAGATTTCGATCCAGACAATCGGCGACAAAATGAGTTGAGACACTTCGCCCAAAACTGTGCTTTTTTACGTTTTATTAACTTCAAAAGGAAGAAATATTGCTTTTCTCCCCCATCTCCTCCGTGCAATGTTGTGCCCTTGTTCTAGCTACCTATAGAAAACAACAAACACCCCAACTTTGAATGGAGGGGACAGGGGAGGGGTGCTAATTCTTTTGTTCTCCGAGGTTACCCTAGTTAAGTACAATGTCTCAACAATTTTGTCGCCGATTGTAGTCGAGCTGTTTTCTGTCTACTTAGGCTATAAGAGGCCAAAAGCGTCTTCCTCAATCGTTGTTGCCGTATTCCGTAACCTTTGGTTATTACTAGTACTAGGAGTATTCGGAGCTTAAGAGAGTGCGTTCGTCGTGTTTGTTAGCTATTTAGCAGTGGGCTAAACCTCTAAGTGAAGTGCATGTAAATAACAACGGGTCAAACACTGACTATGATCCTCAGGATATTCTTTTGCACTGTAGGATGGTCAATAAAATTGGCTACGAATTGGGATACAGAAAATTAAAGTCATCTGACAAGTTATTGATTGAGATGTCAAAAATAGAACTAACTTTAAATCTGAGCTCATAAAAAAACAAATACAGTGTGCAGAACACATTTTTGAGATGATACAGCTGTATCTACATATCCGATCGTATCTTAGAATGGAGTTTTTCCTATTAAAAAAAAAACTTAATTGAACACTGCGAGAAAACGGTAAACAAATCTAAACAGAAATTCGATTATCGCCAATATTTCGTCTGTGAACGAGTCTCACAAAATAGATACCAGTGAGAAAAACTGTTGCCAACGCAGCCAACGATCAAGAAAAAGATGAACAACGCTTTACGAAGACAGGAACCACTACGCTAGTTAGAGCGTCATAGTGAGGCACAACGTATGCTAGCCCCTCAAAGCGAGGCAAATGTTTGTCGACACAAATGCAATCTCAGAAAATCCCGCCTATTAATTGCACAGGACACCCAACAGAAATTAGGGGTTACGTTCTCGTACCTCGAACGCATAACAGATGCTGGCGTGCTAAGCTGGCTCGACTGCATGCAGCACGACACTAGCACGACTTGGTTTCAGAAGTTGAATTTAATTCTGTCGAATAGAACGGCTGTTGCCTAAGACAAAACGCCAAAAATAAAGAAACGGTAAAGCAACCTTTTAACTGTTTTCTAATATATTTATAATTTATTAATTGAGTTCGGCACGGTGGTAGCACGACGTTTGAAACCAAGTCGAGCTACTGCCGTGCTAAAATCGAATTTAATTCTATGAATTGAGTTTGGCACGGCAGTAGCACGACGTTTGAAACGTGCCTTAGATGATTGGCACGTCACTGCGGTAATGTATTGATATAAAATTGAACTTTTCAAAACATCATTTCCCCATTACTTTATTTAGGATGCAATGGAGTATGCCCTGCATGAGATAGGCCTCGGTGGCTGTGCTGCTATTCAAAAGTATTGGACTCAAGGAGTGCAAGACTATGCTGTCAGACTGGACCAAGAGGATATGGAGATGATACAAGATTACAAATCTTTTCTTGTGAGCTATTATATTTACCTAGTGACATTTTGTTCCTTTTTTTTATAACAACTAGCAGTTCTTGAAGTGACTGAGGGTAAATTTTATTCCTCAAACATGAGTACCACGGTATAGGGCTTTAAGTAGCTGGAGTCTGCCTTTTTGCGATGTTAAAGGTTTAACCCATGTATAAGCATCCCTGTACTGTAGAAGGAAAAAACACGTACAGAATTTCTGGAGTCTCAAAAGTCTTCCTAAAGCATGAAGTACAGAACTAATTACTTTTTTCTTGAGTCTTGTGTAAGAAAATAACTTTATAATGTAGTTCCTCAAGTTTTCAACTAGCACACTCACAGCTCTGCTAAAAGTCACCTACGACAGCAGACGCGCAGGTGACTTTCGCAGATAGCTGGAAGCCTTCCACAGGTAAATGCCTTCCGCAGATAGCTGGAGACTTTGTCATGGTCCCAGCCGCGATACCTCTCATTCCAAAGGGGACACATTCTCTGGACCCAAGAATAGGGCCATTTATACGAGGACAAATAAGACGCGTCTTACATTAGACGCGTCTTAAATAAGACGCAAACTGTACCATTTATACGAGCATGTCTTATCTAATAAGACGCGTCTTAGCTAAGCCGCGTCTTATTTTAGACGAAATGTGCCGTTTATACGGAAAGTTCGCGTCTTATGTAAGACGCGTCTTATTTTTCCTCGTATAAATGGCCCTAATGTCCTCTTTTCAGAGATTCAATTACAGTGACGTTTAAGGAAAATAGTTACAGCAACATTAAATCAGGTTGTTGTCTGTCATTTCAGGATCCAGCAACGAAGTCCTCACCTGCAGGTGCTGATTTGGGAGTTTATAACACGTAAGAGTTTTAATAATCCACCGTACCTTTTGAATAAATAACATTTTCAGTCATGTTTAAAACCTGCTTTATTTGTTAGCTGTGTTAGTCGATTAGCTAACTCTGAAACTGAGGGAATCTTTTCTTGTTCTGATTGTGTTATAAACAGATGAGATCTTTCTGAGGTAGATACTCTGGGTAGAGCGATTTTCGTATGAGCTTGAAAAGTGGTTTCGGTATAAGTTTTTGTTATTTGTTTTGTCAGCCAATGGATGAAAAGATCAAAACATGGACTCTTGGTTTTCCCCTCCAAAGAAAACCCTAATGTAAAGAAGGCATTGTTCGATTGGCCAATCGTGTTGCGGTATGACGTCAAAGCGAAGTATCGATGGATTTCTAGAAAGTTCTTGGGCATGAAGTTTCTTCAACCTGAGCGTTCGCTTAATAACCAAACAAAAGCTACAAGCGTTTGTATCCCTTCTACAAACCAATCAAATCGTTATATTTCCGTTCGTTTGTTGTTTCTGTTTTGTTCGTGCGTTTTTATTTCAAGGTCATACGAAAATCGCTTTAACCAGTCACCTGTGCGTCACATGTTTTTTTTAACGAAATGGAACCCCGTATACGTTGCCAAGTCATTCCTTGTTCTTGTATTGGAAAATTTTCGGTCCGTAGGTAACTTACTGCACGGAGGCATTGAAGTTTATACGAAAATGTTTTCCTTCAATTAAGTGCATCCTTGTTCACAAAAATAGCTATCAAAATAAAGTTAAGTTTCGGGGTTTGGAATCTTCCCGTCTAGTAAATCTCTTTGTTTGTAGATTTGTGTGCTTGTGGTCTGCGGATACACTTGTCCTTGCCGCCAGGGACATTTACCTGTTCCAATAAAAAATCAGGATAGTGTTTTCAAAGCCTGTAGAATCGTCAGTTAGTCGGACGGTTATTTCTTCAAAGTTCCACCGAATACAAAGGTATTATAATAAATATCTTGTTTTCTCTGCCCGTACCGTACATTCCTTTCCAAACCAGCCAGAAATATTTTTTCAAGAATTGTTCACCCTTCGACTTGATTTTTAGTTACACATTAAGTGACTCACTCTGAACTCAGTTGATTCCTTTCGCCTACTAGTACCTTCCACCGCCCTAAAATTATCGTTGGATTTTTATGGTCCTTTCTTCTACTGTTTTAAAAGTTCACACTGCTTTGTGTATAGAAAAGAAAAAAACATTGAATATGGTGTTGAATAGTAATGTTCTTTGAAAACATTAACGATGCTTAAAAAAGTCCCGCCGGGTACTTAGTCCGGGTTGAGTAGATTTTCTTGCTTGGCAAGTAACGTTTAAAGCTTACTTGCCCTATGGGCACTGTTGTCGAGGCAAGTCATCCTCCTACTAAATCATCGACTCGGACAAGCAAGTAGACTACGAGCAGTCTCTCTTTTTTTTTGGGTCCGTCAAGAAAATTCGCGAGACACGCAAATGACCAAGCACGTGACCGCCCTCTTTTCTAACGTCTCGCGGCTTCGTCGCTCGCTGCTCGCGCGCGCGTGCATTCCCATCACTAAATGTTAAGAAAAAGAGAGACCGCCCTCAGTCTAACAAGCGAGTAGTTGCCCCGGGCAAAATGTGAAAACTGCTTGCCCAAAGGACGTGCTGGAATTCAAGTGTTTGTCGAGCCCTGACAATTTTTTTCTGATATACTGTAGGATTAAAGAAGATGTGAACGTTAAAGGAAGTGGAGCGTTGTATAAGACGTCTGTTGGGGTGAGTGATATAAGAGACCTTAGGGATCTTAAGCAACTACTACGGCGAAGGCGTAGGGTAACCCTACTTGAGTGCTAGGGTAAAAATCCTAGCACAAAGTTAACCCTCTCCCCTTGTAAACTGGCCCTTAGATAAGCAAAACAACTTTGCACATGCATCATGCTTTTTTGTACATTTCTTTCCCGTCACTGCACATTTCCTAATTTCATGTTTTGTGCAGGACGCAAATAAGCGACGACCAATTTTTCTTTTTCTTTGTAAATATGAATGCGGTCCTCGAGAAATCAACTGCAGGGAAATTCCTTCGCGTACATTTGACGTTTTTCAGCGAATGTAATAAACGCCGCGACAGCGTTTGAAAAAACGCGGGTTCATTTTAAAAGTGACGTTTTCGCTGCCGTCGCCGTCGTCAGTGCTAAAGTTTCCTCCTCAGAATTCGACGAGGACGATTACGAGAACGGTGCTCGTTCTCGAATCTAAAGATCTCTATTAGAGATATCAAAACCACTTTTACATATTGAGTCAAATGTCAATTTGTGCCAATTTTTCATAACTTGCAAGCCTGGACCAAAATTGGAAGAAGCTTGTCGATATCAATGCTGTTGACGTGATATCGACCGGAAATGGAACGCACAGACGTCACGGAATTTGTTATTGCGGAGCTGGAGAAGATAGCTGAACTCCTTGTTTGTTGATCACATTTGACGACAAAATGTGGTAAAGACAAAGAAGTGGCACACGAGCCGCAGGCGAGTGTGTTACTAATGTTTTTATCTTATTTTGACGTCCTCTGTGATTTATTACTGAACAGACCAACGGCAACATGGAATCTATTGTTTTATACAATAATCAGAAAGGAAAAACGACAGGCTTGCCTCGTATCGCTTGACTGTTCGAGGATTTGTGCCCGTTTAGGAGTTTTTCAAGTCACAAACGCTACTTTTCGTCTCTACTTCTTCTTTTCTTCTGTATCTTTCTTGTAGAACGTTTTTCAACGCCTTCACTTGTTGAAAGAAGAATAATAGCGAAAACATTTTGCAAAACTGCAAGTCTAGTCTTGACTAGTTTCCCGGAACGTCATCTATGTATCTGGCCCCAGTTTTTCAGAAGGTGGATAGCGCTATCCACCGAATAAATCTCTATGCACTGGACAGAGATATTCCTAATATTTATCCGCTGGATAGGGATTTTTCAGGTGGATATCGCTATCCAACTTTTGAACAACTCGGGCCAGTACTCTAACAGATCATGGGCAATGACCAATCACAGCGCGCGCAGCATTCACATCATTGTATAATGCTCAGTGTCTTAAAAGGGAGTTCATGATGTCACGACGACAGTGACGGCAACGAGAACGTCCAAAAAATTAAAAGCCACAGGTTTAATTCGCGAAACAACTCTGCACGTGCGGCACACGTTTTTGTACATTTCTCTACCGTCCCGGCACAACCTCGCTATGAAATTTCCTATTTTCACGGTTTTGGACGACGGTAAAACGCAGCGACTTTTCTTATAAGCCGACCTTAATAGAATATCACCTACACTTGACAAAAATTCACTTGGTATCTTGATAAACACCCTA